TTTATATAACTATAAATAATAACATGTCTTTTATTATTTATGCTAAAAATAGATTAAAGATAAAGATAAATAGTTTGTATGCATAGATTTGAAGGGTCAAAATGATTTAAGAATGCACTTATTATATTTATTGATGCTAAACAAATAAAGGATTACTTATCGTATTCAACCATATAATATACCATTATCTCAATAATGACATATGGACTCATTGAAAAAAGAAAAACAGCTTCCCTTCTTCTGCATGTCAGTTGTCAATTTTTTTACCTTGAAATAAGGTCAAATAAATGACAACAAACTGTAAAATTTTTTTTTTCTTTTCTCAAAAAATTATAAATCTTTTATATTTGCAATTAATTAATTTTCTTCTCACTTCATCATTTTATTTTATATACATATTGAATAGATCAGTGCTGCAATATACTAATGTATTACTGTCGATTGTATGGTATGTATATCAAATATAATAGAATACAAACATATACATATGCTATTTGTAGAGATTCTTTTATTTTTCTTTTCTCTGGTGCTAATGATGACGAATATTAATAGTACGACATTATCTGTAGAAAATCAATCGTCAAGTATTCATCTTAGAGCTCCTAGTTTTAGTGGTATTTATCATACTAATCTATTATCTCATTCTCCATCTCAAATTCTGAATAAAAATGAAAATGAAATGAAATTAATTTCTAAACAAAATCAATTAAATCCATGTAATAATGGTTCATATATAAAAACAAATGGAACAACATGTGGTCTTAAAGAAATTATGATTGGTCGTTGTAATGAATATCAATATATAAAACGTGGCCTTTATCTATCAAATACCACGTAAATAAAAACACACAGAATTTTTTTTTTATCTCTTTAACCTTTCAATGTTTTCTTTTTCTTTCTTTTTTAGTGAAATTAAAAATTGTACAAAACTTTATGAATTATTTGAATCTGCTGCTCGTTATAAATCATATTGTAATACGAATATGAGTACATATGAAAGTTATTTTCAATATGCTCTTGATGGTGTACATGTAATTAATCGAGTAAGAATTATTTTTCTAAAAAACAAAAAAAAACTAAAACCAATGATTATTATGTTTTGTTTGGTTTTACTGAAAGGCCTTGTTTTGGAGTGGTACTTATGGTTTAGCTCATGCTTATAGTAATCGTGGTATTAATTATATTACATTAGAAGATACATTAGCCGCAGCTATGGCTGATGGTTTATTATGGTGTGGAAAAGAAAATGATACTGAAGGTTTTGATTACGTAAGTTGTCCAAGAAATTGTAAAGATAATATTTGGGCTGATGATGCTTTTTGGGGACTTGCGTCAAGAACGGTAAAATAAAATAAAACATAATATAATTTTATTAATTAATTTTAATATTTAGTATGCTCAAAAAGTAGCTGGTGAAATTTATCTTGTTTTAAATGGAAGTCGAACTGATGGTCATCCATCATTTCGTAATGGTTCATATTTTACAACATATGAATTACCTAATCTTCAAAAAACAGGTCAATATCGAGTTACGAAAATGATTGTTTTACTTATGCATGCACCTGATCAAAAAGTTATGTAAGTTAAAAAAGAAATATATATATGAATTTATAATATATTTCTTTTATTGTTTTAGTGAAAAATGTGGTGAAAAAAGTTTACGTAGTTTAGAAACTATTATTCGAGGTTATAATATTGATTATGCATGTAAAGATGATCCAGAAGAATTAATTTTAATTATGTGTAGTGATCAATGGGAAGCACGAGAGTGTCAAATAGCACGTAAAGTTTTAAGACAACAATGGAATATAAAAGTATATGGAAAATCAAATACTATTTATCATTCTATATCATTTTTATTTTTATTTTCCATTATAATAAATTATTTTCTTTAAAAGATTCTATTGGTCAACTTTGATTTTTTTGAAATCAGATTTTATGGAATTATTTTGAACACTAAGACTTGACTAATAGTAATTTATTATTTATAGTTTTATCGACATGATCTACGCGATAGTTTCCATGTTGAACATTTATTTGCAGTTTCACCGGTATCAGGGTTCCCGATTGGGGGAGGGGGGAAGGAAAAGGCTTCTTCTTCAAAATTCGGACTTTCTATCATAATTTTTGCTAATACTTTCTACGAAATTTTCAAAGTTCAGTTCATCAGAAAACTCCTGCATTTTCTGGAATCAAATTAAACCAAAGATGCCCATATCACAAAAGCCGGATTACTTTTAGCGGTAAACCGTCAGTTTATTTTCGGTTTTATTACGTAGATGCTTTCTGACAAATTCCTCACAGAAAGTTCCTATGTCATTCAAACTGCTCGAAAACTGACGGTTAACCGCGATTCTCCACCTGATTTCTTTCGTTGTTGCAATGGATCAAGTTTTTTTTACTCTTACAAAATTGACAAATTTTGGTCGAAATCATATCCTGTCTATATTGTCGATGCGCTGAAGTCACATCACTCATATTCGCATAATTTTTGAGTTTGAGTTGTTATTAATTATGGCGTCATAAAAATAGTCATCTGTCAGACGACTTGACTTATGGGAAAATATGTGGCATCATCTGACAAAATTTACCGTTGCATGATTAAGTCGATTTTTTTTAAAGTTGGAATCCAAAATGGTATTCGAGCATAACATTTTCATTTGTCAGAAAAGTTGAGTCTCAATCATCAGGCGCTCAATAATGGTTACAATCAAAACCAAGTCTGCAACACTTGGAGATTCTAGTTGAATAAATAATCCTGCCTCTGGAACTCTACAATAACCACACATGAAGCCCATTGAAAAAAATTTTTTTTTCTGCTTCTTTTGTCTTGTTGTACTTTTATCTTTCATCCAACACCAAAAGATAGAAGTATACTTAATAATATTAATGATAAGATATTTGTTTTTTTCTACCAATAAAATAGCTACCATTATCACCGTACTGCAAATACGATCGATGGTTTCTAGCATCATAGAGTATCTCAAAATGATCTGTAAACCATTTCCATACATAATACGTGATATGAATTGGATGCAATGGGTCAGTTTCATAGTTTTCACTAGTATATAAATGATCCCACCATCGTTCACCAAAAATCAAGATACCCTTTGGTCGTAATGAATTGTAAATATTCTGTAAGATCTGATAGGCATTTTGCACATGTTCGAGTACATTAATTATGAGGATGGTATCAAATTCATGAATGTCCCAGCGCATATCTTCGGATGGTAACGAGACAATGTTAGTTGGAATGTAGTCAAAACCTATTAATATACCATTTTTATATGTGCAATGAGTCACATGCTTCATATAGAGTTGTGCATTCGGATCCCATAGGGTCAAGTTGTGTATATTCACGTCCTTCCCCCTAATGCGAAGAATTGACAATGTTTGAGTAAATGGACCACAACCGACTTCTATCATATTACCCAATTCCTTTGGTAATATTTTGTAATTATCAAAACCTGCCAAATGATCGTCCCAACGGTCGTCATGGTATTCATCAACTACCCAAAAGTCAGCTTCAGTACGAACGGCCTGCTTCCATCTTGCAAATGACACTTCACCGATACCGTACAGTGGATGGATAAAACATTTATCGTCGTTATTCCCAACACAAGAACTAAATATTGACTGATTCCATCCAATGTCACAGTCAATTCCATCATAGCCAACCCAACAAAAACATTTACCAATCAAACAAGTGCCATGTTGATAGCAATTATGCCGATGACAGGTCAAATCTCGTGTTATTGAATATTGAATAATCTTCAGCTTATTTAAAAGGATCGAATAGAAGAGTAAAATCACTAGCAATCCACACAAGGATATACATACGCAAATCATTCGCATGTTGATTCTATATCAACAGACAACACTCAGATATGATCTAGAAATTTGGATCAAAAGTAAGATGATTGATATTCTTCGATAATAAATGTGAACCTTGACTTCTTTAAAGAAGACTTCTAATGTATTCGATTGTTAAATGCTTATGTCATTAAATACTGATTTCTTGAACAGATTATATATATAACAGTATGATTTACTTTGAACTCTGTTGAAATTTTTGTAGACAATGTGAGAGCATTTCAAGACAGAATTCTAACTATCAGATAACTGTTCTCTAGGCTGAAAGATCAGGGTTCAAAAATCGGTAAATAATTTATTCATATTTGTATGTCTGTCTGAAACATAGTTTTTCAAATCTCTATCTGCGCTGTTCTGTAAGGATTTTTTTGCTTTTCTTTTTATTTTTCCTAATACATTCTTTTATAAACCGTGGTTATTAGTGATACATGTCGACAAGTTGTTTTGAACATTTAAAACAACAGACATTTGATCTTTAACTAATCTTTAGATTTTTAGATATTTTTGATGGTCTTGAACTTCCGAAACATTTTCTTGCGATACATGTAATGTTCATTAGAAGTTAATTCATTTGCTCTAGGAGGCATTGCATGATACGAGCGATCAATCTTCTATTTCAATGAAACTTTGCATATATGTGATCCTAAGTGAGATATAAAAAGTTAAAATTGTTTTTCTTCTAAAACCATTCCTCTGTTGATAACGGGTGGCGCAGATTAAATGAGCCTCTCAGTATTTTGCATATT